CTTAAATTACACATTGTGCTCTAGGTATAATACAGAGTTTCAGACTGAAGTCAGATAGTGAAGTGCTTAGAAGCAGGGAGTCTGGAGCCAGACTGCCTGTATTTGAATCTCAGGTTCTCTTAATAGCCGTGTGAATTTAGTCAAATTACTTAACCTTTCTGGGCTATGGTTTTTTTTTTTTTTAATTAAAAATTTTAAAAGAGGGGCACCTGGGTGGCTCAGTGGGTTAAAGCCTCTGCCTTTGGCTCAGGTCATGGTCTCAGGGTTCTGGGATCGAGCCCTGCATCGGGCTCTCTGCTCAGCAGGGTCCCTGCTTCCTCCTCTCTCTCTCTGCCTGCCTCTCTGCCTACTTGTGATCTGTCTGTCAAATAAATAAATAAATGAAAATCTTAAAAAAAATTTTTTTTAAAGATTTATTTATTTATTTAGAGAGGGTACATGCAAACATACAAGTTGGGTGGTGGGGGGCAGAGGGAGAGAGAGAATCCTGAATAGACTCCCCGCTGAGCCTGGAGCCCGACCTGGGGGCTCAATCTCATGACCCCGAGATCATGACCTGAGCCAAAACCAAAAGTAAGCTGCTTAACTGACTGAACCACCCAGGTTCCCCTAGGCTAAGTTTTAATAATGATACCTACCACGTCAGATTGTGTTGGAGATTAAATTAGTTAATGCATATAAGACAGAACCATAGCTGGGCTGTAGTAAGTGTTCAATATTATTGTGATTGTCTTTTCTAAGTAGCAATGATTGATCTTGCTTTCTGGTTGGTTTATTGTGTGGAAGTGTGTGGTACAGGCTTGATAAAATCTTTATTGTGTCCTTCTATCCCTGTAGCTCCAACTATGATTCAGGTTACTTCCTGAGGATTATGCAGAATGAGCTTAACCCTCATCAGGGCCCTGTGTATTTGAACACAATTAAAATGCCCAGTCTCCTTTTTTCCATTTCCTTCTATATTTCCCAATACAGTATTCTTCTGAGTTCTTCTTTTTGGGCAGTCCTCTGTTGAATATATATTATGTATCTCCTACACTTGTGGTGGTCATTAGAGATAAGGAGAATTTCTTTTTCCTACTCTTTGCCATGTCTTTATTAATGTAACTCAAAGTTACATTGCCTGTTTTGTTGCCTGTAATTTACTATTAAATCACATCGTGTCTATTATTAATTTTCCCTCCCTAAATTTACTCCATCCACATTTGCTTGCGCTGTGTAAGTCTTTTCATACATTCATTGAATGTATTGACTGCTGAGCATATTACCATCGACAGAGCTTTGTAATTGACACTAGATATATTCTTCAAGGGGTCTAGAGTTTCCTAAAATGTCATGCATGCAAGCTAGATTTGTAATAAGGTGTTTTGTGGTACTTGTTGTGATAGAAATGTGCAAAGAGTATATGATAACATAAAGGAAGAACTCTTAACTCTCACGGTGGGGGAGATAAAGGTATGTCAATGAAGATGGTGGGAGATGGTGGAGATGTCGGGGAAATGCACACAGAGGAGACAGTGTTTGTCATATACTGTAATTAAGATGCTAGCCACCAAGAGAGTGGGAGGGACAAACCCTTAAAGAAGAAGGAGCAACTAGTAACATGACGTGAAACAGCTGGGCCTCTGGGAACTACGCGTAGCTGAGTGTGGTTGGAACATAGAAGGCAGGTGGAGGAATTGGTGGGAGAGATGCTGACCAGATGGGCAGACAATAGATTCTGAAGGGCTTTGCATGTCATAGTGAGGAGTTAATACTTAACCCTATAGGTATGAGGTAACAGTAAAAATTGGAGAACCACAATAATAAATAGATATGATTTAAATATACATCAGACTCGTAGCCTGTATAGTGTGATCTGTGAATTAAAGAAGTAGGAACAGAGCTAAGGTGGCTGATGGAGAGGCTTTTCCTGCTACACAAGTAAGTAAAAACATGAAGTCATGATCAGAACAAGGCCTTGGGAATAGGAAAGAAGGGAAATTTTTGAGAGATTTATTAAGTAGATGTATTTTGAGCCCTTACTTACATCCTTTGATAACACAATAGTCAGCTGGATGTGGCAGGAGGCTCAGCCCTACGTCTGGGGGTTGGGGCAGGTAACAATGTCACTCACAAGAGTAGGGGATGGAGAACTCATTCATTAGGAGCAAGGGATTCCCTTTGGGACCAGTTACCTTTTGAACACCTGTGAGATATTTAAACAGAGATATGTAGGGGGTGTTTGGCTTCTGTATCAGTAAGTCAGGAGATGGTTTTGTGCTATGAAGTAGAATGGTGAATTCCATGTATAGAAGTCAGTTGAATCAGGCATATGGGCTGAGGATAATCATGATGAGAACCCTAACACATCACAGAAGCATGGAGAGGGGTAGCCCTAGAAAATGATTTTGAAAGAGATGTTAGTTGGAGAGTTGGTAAAACCCAGGAGGGAGTAGTTCACAGAACCTGTGGCAGAGTTTATAGTGCTTACAAAATATTTTGTAATGTTGAAGTAGTGTTGGACATGGCCATAAGAATGGTGCTTTTTGATTAAGTGGGGTTCTGAGCAGGTAACTTTCCGGGTAGACCAGCTCCTTTTGAAGAGCTCGGCCTGTGTCAGAGATCAGGGGAGGATGTCCTCCCAGCATTTGGACCTAGTTCTAGTAGGTCCTGATTCTCTGCATTCTGGTTGAGAGTGGTGACTGTTTTTTAGTTTGAATGAGAATAAAGATTTCCTCTGTTTTTTTCTTCTCTTTGTTTTTAGAGGAAAAAAAATCAGGTAGAAATGACTCTGCAGTTTTGTGTGTGTGTGTGTGTGTGTGTATGTGTGTGTGTGTCTGTGTGTATATGTTAAGAGAGAAAGAGAAGGAGAGGCAGGGAGGGGCAGAGGGAGAGGGAGACAGCGACTCTTCAGCAGGCCTCACACAGAGCATGGAGCTCAGTGTAGGGCGCAACATGGGGCTTGATCTCATGGCCCTGAGATCATGACCTGAAATCAAGAATCAGACACTGAACTAACTGAAGCACCCAGGGGCCCCTTCTGTGCAGTACTTTATGAGAAGTATCACAGTCCCTTTGAAATTTCAAGCTAACTAGACAACAACATCCACAACAGCACCAGGTTTATTTTTTAATTTAGTTCTGTTTGAGTTTGTCATGCATTTGGACTACGGGTTTCTTTAGAGCAGAAATGAGGCATATTTATTTTAGTGCCCCGAGGGCCTAACTCAGAGGTTGGCCGATAGAAGTGCTTAATAAATGCTTATTTTTGTCTTTGTTGTTCGTGATGACAAGGTTCCATTTCTGAAAGCTTCCAAGTTGTCTTGAATCTTCTTACCTTTCAAGATCTCGTGTCACTGAATTCTGCCATTTCGTCTTCTGAATTTTCATAATTCTTTTTTTTTTTTTCATAATTCTACTTTTTTTTAACCGCTTAAAGTTCAGTATCTGTTTTCTCCCCTCAAGTGTTCAAGCAAAATGAGAATTTATTTTAAGGCTGCATTGATGCCACAGCATTTGAGGGTAGGAACCGAAATAGAGCCAGACCTAAGGTATTGAGCCTGAGACAGAAAACTGTCAAAATGTTCCTGCTACTTTCATTTCCACAAGTTCTCTTGTTTCTACTTCTCTTTGTTCTCTCTCTTTCAAATATTTATTTTGAAATATCTCAGTCATATGCTACCATATGGAGTATAATATAACCAAATGCATTTTTTTAAAAGATTTTATTTATTTGTCAGAGAGAGAGAACACAAGCAGGGGGAGCAGTAGGCAGAGGGAGGAGCAGTTCCCTTGCTAAGCAGTGAGCCTGAAGTGGGACTCGATCCCAGGACCCTGGGATCATGACCTGAGCTAAAGGCAGACGCTTAACCAACTGACCCACCCTGGCGTCCCAACCAAATGAATTCTTAACTGTTTCATCTTAACTATCAAAAACCTTTTGATGCCAAAATTAGAGTCTTACTAATGTCACATCTGTCCCATTAAACCAACCAATTCCTCTGTGTTGGTAGTAAGGAAGCTCAGAGTGAGTTATGCTAGACTCCTTGTCTCCCCCTTGGGAGAAAGAATTGGCAATAACGGAGTCATAGACCTCATGAGGTTTGGAAGTGATGGTCCAATGAGAGGCTTCCTGATCACAGCTCTGTCTCCCCTCCCTGCATCAAGAATGAATTTATTCTCTTTCCCCACATGGCTTATTATATGCTTCCCCCCCAAAAAAATTACTATGGGACTTCCAGTGTTTGAAGAAAGTGTAGGCTGTATTCCATTTGGATAATGTTGTATTGGATTTAAGCTTCTCAGCAAAATATGAATTACCTTACTGCTGTTCCCTTATAGTATTCTTTTCTGTGACTATTGTTAGGGGATGATAGGATTTTGTAGATTATGTACCCATTTTATGTTCACCTCTTAATTTTTTCAGAACTCTACAAATTTAGTGCTTAGCATGACCGTGAGTCATGGTAAGAGGTAGTGGAAACAACAATGGCCCCTGCTCATTCTCCCCACATGCCCAGAAACATTTCCTGTTTGCTTGCCAGTAAGATTGGGATTCCTTTCTCAGAAGTTTGGTGCTCATGGTTATTATAAAGTGAGAAATAAAAATAAATGTTTTCAAGTAGAGGATAAGTTTTATAGGCAGACATAATAAAAGGCCTGGTTTCATCATCCTATTTCTATACTCTGTATATATTGCATTTGAGTAATTTTCTCCTTTGGTTTTTCCTCTGTGCTATTTATACTTCACTTATGAAGACAGATTGGATCTCCCTTAGCTAATGAAAAGTTGTCTTATTTAATAATTCAGAAATATCTTATTTCTTGGTGGGAAAAAATCTGCTTTTTAAAAAAAGTTTCTTTACCATTTCAGCATTTTTGTTGACTTAAAATCAGAGCTGTATTATATGTATGTTCTTAGCATATAGATGGGCAATCAGGTTCATAAAGGTAAACCATTGAATTTTTTCCCAGCCTTTTCTTTTCTGAAAGGGTCATGTCATTTCTTTTCTTTTCTTTAGGGAATCAGCAGTCTCTTCAGTTCTTTGAAAGTGGTGCGGCTCTTGCGACTGGGCCGTGTGGCTAGGAAATTGGACCATTACCTGGAGTATGGAGCAGCAGTCCTCGTGCTCCTGGTATGTGTGTTTGGACTGGTTGCCCACTGGCTGGCCTGCATATGGTATAGCATTGGGGACTATGAGGTCATTGATGAAGTGACGAACACCATCCAAATAGACAGTTGGCTCTACCAGCTGGCCTTGAGCATTGGGACTCCTTATCGATATAACACCAGTGCAGGGATATGGGAAGGAGGACCCAGCAAGGATTCTCTGTACGTGTCCTCGCTCTACTTTACCATGACAAGCCTTACAACTATAGGATTTGGAAACATAGCTCCTACCACAGATGTGGAGAAGATGTTTTCAGTGGCCATGATGATGGTTGGCTGTAAGTATCTTGTTTTTTCTTTTTAAAATTAGAAAATTATTGTTGTGGCAGTTTTCCAGACTCCATTCTCTAACAGGATTAAAATGAAATTACTTTGTCCTCAGAAAGGCATTTAATCCATATTACTTGCATTGGTTTAGTTTTTTATTCAGCCTTAGAAAATAAAAATGCAAAATAATATATTTTACTTTTTTAGAATATATTAACACATGAAAAACAGTGTGGATAGAGTGATACAAAAATCAGGATGGGAACTCTTTGATTTAATTCTGTTCACAGCATTCTATCTGGCAGAGCTCTTTCTCAGGGAAATCACCATCTAGAAAGGCAGCATCTGGCATATCCCATAGGTTTTGTTGGCAGTGTATTAAATTCCGAAAAAGCAGACGGGATATGATGGGAAATGCATAGTTTAGAAACCACTTTAGTTAGTAACTGAACTCTTGACTAGTGTTGATCTCAGGGCAGTTTTATGTTGGTTTTTACAATTAAGACTCAGAAAAAGTTTTATAAATCTGGTCTTCATTACAAACACTCTAGGTTGAATATATGCCTCTTTGAGAGAATGAAAAGATTAGTAAATACAAGCTCATTGGGCAATGATAAAAGTGTCCACTATTTACCAGGCATAATTGAGTACTAAATGTCCAGATGTTGTTCAAGGGAGTAGAATGTTCTCTAAAGGAGTCAAAGAACATGTGTCGTCCACTCCAACTGAGGTTGGATTATGTTAGAAGATCAAAACCTTAGGATCTCCTGTGTTAGGAGATACATATCAAAGAAGCTGTTTTAAAAGAAGATTTTGAGGGAAACTTCACCATCATTTACCCCTTCAAGTTGACTGAGATGATTTATCCAAGCCTAGTTCTGACCTCTAGAGTAACCATAAGATCATCGTACTAGAGGTATGACTAGTGTTACTAGGACCTGTTAAGCCTTTGGGTCATGATCTTTGGTTTGTGGATTGAGCTGTCCTTTCTGAGATTCCACATTACAGAGGTTTACATTTTGACACCGATGGGGAAGATGTTAGGAGTTCGGCAGTGTCAGATATGAAATGTCAATATCTTGGGTCAGTTTAAGGCAGTTTTCACATTTTCAGAGTTGAGGGCTTTTGATAGCTATTGGAGCACGAGAGTGTTGGCAGTTTGGCTTCCATCTCTCTGCATTCCTTCGTGCAGGTGCAGGAACAAGAACGTACGGGTTCTACTTGCTGTTTAGAGGTAAAGAGGTAGACTGAGAATGCCAAGTGCCGTCTGCTTCATAGGCTTTTAGGAGGAAGTATGTTCCTACATACAAAGAGAACCTGATGACTAATTAAACTGCTGTCTCCACAGCCAACGTGGTAAAATGTATTGGTGTGTTATAAATTCAGAAGACGACATTGTGTCAGATGTAATATTTATTACTATACTGCTTTTAGTATTTATATAATGCATTTTGCCTTATACTTGAGCTTAGTTAGAGTTAAAAAAAATATTTGGAAGCGATTATTGATTCATTGGAGGCAGCAAAGATAGTATAGAGAAGGCCTTTGTGCCCTTTACCTAGTTTCTTCTAATAGTTATATCCTGTATAATCAATCCAGCATATGATCGACATTGACACTAATACAATATATGTGTGTAGTTTTGTGTTGCTTTATCATGTGTTGATTGCTTTAACTACCACTGAAATCAAGATATGGGATTGTTCCATCACAACAAAAACCTTCCTTCCTCGCATTACTCCTTTATAGTCATACCCATTCCTTCCCCCAAAGCATCCTTAAGCCTTGGTAACTACTGTTTTGCTCTTCTTCTATCTAGTGTTGATTTTGAAAATGTTATGCAAATGGAGTCATACAAAATGTGACCTTTTCAAATCGGCTTTTGACTTTCAGTATAACCCCTTGCAAGCCATCTAAGTTGTTGAGTGTATCAACAGTTTATTCCTTTTTATTGCTGAGTAGTATTTCATGTTTGGCTATATCACTGTTTAGCTGTTCATCTATTAAAAGCCATTTTGATTGTTTCCAGTTTTTGCCATTACAAAGAAAGCTGCCATGAACATTTGTGTACAATTTTTTTTTTTTTTTTGGATGTAAGTTCTCTGTTCTCTGGGACAAATATCCAGGAAACAGATTGTTGAGGTGCACAATAAATGTATGTTTAGTTTTTAAAAGAAGTTGCCAAACTATTTTGTAGAGTGGATAGACTAGCATAGTTAGATTTTTCTTTCTTTTTTTCTCAAGATTTTTAAACAATAGGATAATGGGAAAATAAAATCTATATAGAGTTGAAGGTTAGCACTGTTCACTTTGTTTCTCAGGCCCCAAACCTAGGAATCATTTTACATTGCTGTTTTTCTCATTTATTACATATTTTCATAACAAGTCTTACTGCCTTTACTGTCAGAATACATTTGATTATTTCTCTCCACTTTCATAGCTTACCACTCAAGACCAAGTCATCGTCACTGGTCAGGACATTTACTATAATCTCCTATATGTTCCTTCTGTTTTTACTCTTGTCCCATAGTCTCTACTCAGAAGTGATGGATGGAGCTAAAGAGTATTATGCTAAGTGAAAAAAGTCAGAGAAAGTGAGAGTAGCCCCCTTTTAAAATTTTATTTTATTTTATTTATTTTCAGTGTTCCAGCATTCATTGTTTATGCACCATACCCAGTGCTCCATGCAATAAGTGCCCTCCTTAATACCCACCACCAGGCTCACCCAACCCTCCACCCCCTCCCCTCAAAAACCCTCAGTTTGATTCTCAGAGTCCACAGTCTGTCATGGTTTATCTAGAGTAGCCCCTTTTTTTTCCTTTTTTTTTTTAAATTTCTTTTCAGCGTTAACAGTATTCATTGTTTTTGCACCACACCCAGTGCTCCATGCAATACGTGCCCTCCTTAATACCCACCACCTGGCTCCCCCAACCCCCCCCCCCCCCCCCCTTCAAAACCCTCAGGTTGTTTTTCGGAGTCCATAGTCTCTCATGGTTTACCTCCCCTTCCAATTTTCCCTCAACTCCCTTCTCCTCTCCATCTCCCTATGTCCTCCGTGTTATTTGTTATGCTCTACAAGTAAGTGAAATCATATGATAATTGACTCTCTCTGCTTGACTTATTTCACTCAGCATAATCTCCTCCAGTCTCATCCATGTTGCTACAAAAGTTGGGTATTCATCCTTTCTAATGGAGGCATAATACTCCATAGTGTATATGGACCACATCTTCCTTATCCATTCGTCCGTTGAAGGGCATCTTGGTTCTTTCCACAATTTGGCGACCGTGACCATTGGTGCTATAAACATTGGGGTACAGATGGCCCTTCTTTTCACTACATCTGTATCTTTGGGGTAAATACCCAGTAGTACAATTGCAGGGTCATAGGGAAGCTCTATTTTTTTTTTTCAAAGATTTTATTTATTTATTTGACAGACAGAGATCACAAGTAGGCAGAGAGGCAGACAGAGAGAGAGGTGGAAGCAGGCTCCCTGCAGAGCACTGAGCCCGATGTGGGGCTCGATCCCAGGACACTGGGACCATGACCTGAGCCGAAGGCAGAGGCTTTAACCCACTGAACCACCCAGGTGCCCCGGGAAGCTCTATTTTTAATTTCTTGAGGAATCTCCACACTGTTCTCCAAAGTGGCTGCACCAACGTGCATTCCCACCAACAGTGGAAGAGGGTTCCCCTTTCTCCACATCCTCTCCAACACACGTTGTTTCCTGTCTTGCTAACTTTGGCCGTTCTAACTGGTGTAAGGTGGTATCTCAATGTGGTTTTAATTTGAATCTCCCTGATGGCTAGTGATGATGAACATTTTTTCATGTGTCTGATAGCCATTTGTATGTCTTCATTGGAGAAGTGTCTGTTCATATCTTCTGCCCATTTTTTGATATGATTATCTGTTTTGTATGTGTAGCCCTTTTAAGGTAAATACGAGCACACCATTTCTTTGCTTGAAGCCCTCCAATGTTTTCCATTGCACATAATATAAAATCTAGATTCCCTACCCTTCTAAATCTTCATGGTCTGGCTGTTGCCAAGTTCCATGAAAGTAGTGTCTTGGCCTATTTTTTGCTTCTGTATACTCAGCTTCTGAACAGTTTTTAATGCCATACTCAATCTCTGTTGTATGAATGAATGAAACTGAAGATGGCCTTGATGGTTAAAACGAGAATTTCCTGTTCTTGAATCCACTCCAGTTAGGTCTCTGATGAAGATACATGCTAGGAAAATGTGCACACTTCAGGTTTTTTCTCTGATTCCTTTGTGAAAGCCCCGAGTTCACCTATGTCTCCCTCTGGGAATGTAGTGGCTCCTATCACTGGATTGCTCCAACTCTTAAGTTTCTAAGCCCCTGATGATAAGTTCTAAGAGGATAGTTAGTGAAAGCACCAACAACCCTTTCTCCCACCACTTTTTATTCTCCACCTTCTGAATCTACCTGCATTGAAAATTTTCACGTAGATTGAGTTGAATTTTCAAAACTTCATTTGGTTCGTATTGGTTCCGTTCTTTCTCTACTTCATGTATGGCCAATTCTATTGATATATCTAAATGTCTTTCTCCTTCTTTTATCTTTATATAGTTCCTACCTTGATTTCAAGATGAAGACCTGGTCTTAAACTTGGTCCTTTTCTGAGTTTCTGCTATATTCTTTTAACACCTGAGCATTGGTTTTCTGTTTATAAACTGGTTTCTGACATTTCTTTTGCCTGTTGACTTTGGTTTTCTTTTTATGCCTCAAGTCCAGTCTCTATTGCCAGGAGTGTTCCAGGGAGATGTCTTTTTAATTTCCTTCTTAGTCTGAGTCCTTTAGTAATTTAATGGCATGTTTCCTTTGCAGCAACCCAAGAAGTTGATAGAAAACTGTCAAGACCCATGAAGTGTTACAGTAACGTTTTGCAATTCCAAAATGTATTAGACACACATGCTAAAATACCAACCAAGTGTGCCTGTTGCAGCTGTTTGTAATTTTAGTGTCACTTTTCTCCCTACAATAACACCA